TGGCGTTCTTGTTGTCAGTTTCTATCCAGATTGCCTGAGTGAATGTCTGGAGGTGTAGGCCCCTCGGAATGATTGTGTTAAGCTAGCACTAAGTCCCTCCCCCGTCCACCTTTACTCTTTTCTTTACAATAAGGCTTTCAAATAAATCATGGCTGTACGGCAGTGAAGCATCGGTGTTGAACAATGATGTCATGCTGTCGATGATGTTGATGAAGATTGAAACAGGTTGCTCAGGTCACTCATACCCCTCCCCCAAATAGCACTATCCCTCGTCACAGGTAAGAGTTTCAATTAAAGCCATAAAACGACACCAGTAACAGTCAACTGTGAAAGCGCTTTCAAAGCTATCAAATGCTAAATACTGAAGGCAGAGAGGACTAATGGACTTGAAAAGCCCACAAATGGAGTTAACAGCGAACAATGCCAAAATATCCGTTGACCCGGTCGAAGGGATCTGAGGAGAATGTGAGTGTGTTTTAGTGAGTCGAGATCCGGAGATGGTGGGACCTCAATTCATTCACAAAGTCGCCGTTTCAAAGGACAGATAAAACACACTGTAGAAAACGTCAGTATGTACCCATTAAGTCTGGGGACAAAGTCAACTCTATTGGAACTGTGCTACTTGTCCCGTACCGCTGATGGAGGCCTAAGGTATAGTTCTACTGCTTCAGTGGAACAAAATACCTGGTCAAGACAGTTAATACCCTGTGGATACCCAGATGACTCCAACAAAGAATCTTGAGTCAGTAAAGGATCCAAGCGGATTGACGCGCCTTAGTGTTGATTTCCATATTGCGCAGACCACAAAGCATCCGCTTAGTGACTGTAGCCTCTAAAGCGCTCTGTAGTACCATACAGCATCTGAACAGTCAGATTTGCGAGCATCAACCTGAGTTTCACCCTGGCCGGGAATTAATCGATCATATCTTCACATGTTGAGATCATTGATCTCCATTTTTTGTTGTCCGTTAATCAGCATATTAGGGTGGATTTAGGCTGCGTGAATGACCCTGGAACATTGGTTGAAAATCGTTTGATCACATTTCTAATTGATTCTCAGTCAGGAATTTACACCACTGGAAGATAACTGTACTTAAAGTTAGATTTATCCGTAATTACATATTTTAGGCATACCTGTAATCGTATTTGTCTCGCTTTCTTGCTATTGTATGTTCCAATGTTAAAATCTGCGTATGATATAGCCTTTCGTTGGCCTCTAATAATGAAGCTTGTAGTTGGGAAAATCCAGCTGAAAAGCCCAATGAAGAACACAAAAATTTTTAAAATAACCAAGTCCAAACGATGTGCAGTTGGTTCTATGGTAGTTCATCTACCCTAACAAGAAGTGTTTAAATATTTAAAATCCCAGGTGATCATTTCTTGGCACCCAGAATGGCTGATCACTGTTATTCTGAGACCCATTTGCAGGGTATATCGCTCACATATCTTGCTTATTCAGAAGCTTTCGTAAAGGTTACAAGATAGACAGATATTAACACGTGTTTTTTCTCATATGTTTAATTTTAGTGGGAGCATTGCACTGACGTATTTTGCGGTTGGATGGGGCTACTGGGCAGTGGTTCTGTTTTATGGTATCTTCACAGGAATCGGATTTGGAGCAGGGTATTCAGTTATAATCGCAACGGCATCAGAGGTGAGTTATACTAAGTAGATACAAATGGTGGAAACTAATAGTGTTTAAGTCTTCATTTTCTCTGCTGATGGTCCGAAACTATATGTGAAAGCCATTATAAGTGTATTTTATGAGATAGCTTTTAAGACGGCATTAATCACAAAAGCAGTTTTGCTTAAACAAGTTTTATCGATTAACATCTGTTTCAGAATGTTTGTGATTATGAAAACAGAGTAAAGTTTTGGCAGATGAAAAACAAGCCAAATGGTTTTCTTTCATTACAAATTGAGTTTCCCGGATGGTACAGTACCAGCCGTTCATTTAGTTTGTTTTTTTCAGTTAGTGAACGCAGGCGTCTGAATCTTGAGAAAAGTAGACATCTTTTTCTTAGAGTTTTCTGTCCAAATTCCTATTCATTCTTATCGGGCGGTTTGTACCTTAGAATTTATTTATAGTAGATGTGACTGATAAGAGGATCAGCAATGAGATTCAGTGCGGTGCGTGTGGCTCCTGTTATGTTTTAGTCACACAACAATTTTTAAAACAACATTTTGTGTTCCTTACAAAGGCATTTTTATCGCTAGTATTCTTTAAGCGAAAAAACTAGATGTTTAGGTATTTGAATCTAATCCCGAACCAAATCGATGCCTTTTTGTTAGTACTAGTAACAGACGGTGGCCGCCATAAAAAAATCCCTCATACATCTACTATAGATAACGTCTAGGAGAAATGTTCTCGGAATAAAAGCCATTATAACGGGGACAAAACATATCAGTGAAAAGAAGAAGGCCTTTGCTGCGAAGTTGTTTATTAGAAAACACCAACGAACAGGTACGGACTTTTGGACAGGAAAGCGAAACTCTCACATATATATATGGTTACAAAAACTAAAAATCCATCTTCTCCTTGAACGCGTCCTCCTGAATTTTCCTGGACATTCATTAGCTGTCACTCATATGCAAGGAGACGCCACAAAGCGACTCCAAAAATTCCGGAAGAGATTTCACTTTTTGATAGACGCGAGGTGGATTTACGGGAAAACCACACACTACTTGCATGTCTCATCAGGTATCCTTCGTTACTTTGCTTGCACCTAAATTGAATTTTCTTCTTGAAAAGCATTTTGTTTTGATGTGGGATGCGAATACAGTTGGAAGAAAATGACTGTTTAGAGACATAAACGTAAAATGTCAGAGGAACTATAACTTTTGAATTTAGAAGACACATTTATTAATGATTTCGTCATTCCAGCCTTCTTTCAAAGATAATTTGACATGACAACTGGAAACCATCGCATAAGAACGTTGCGTCGGGCCAAAAAAACAAAAGGTGCCCTAAAAGGCTTACGTCTTATTGACAGACGACTATTCAAAGTAAATCAAAATTTTATCAATTAATATACACGCTATTATCATTGCGTTACCTGAAAAATATCCATTATTCTCGTCATTTAATGCGAATAAAAATTAAATACATCACGAATGAATGTTTCATATAAAAAAACATGAAGTTAGATATGTCGAAGTAAGATCTAAGTCTTCCACTTGAAAGCTTCTGATTTTTCGGCATGCTTTATGATTTACCATCATTGTTTCCTTACACTTCTTCAGTGGTTTCCAAATCGGCGCGGCCTAATTGTGGGCCTGGTGCTTGGGGGGTTTGGCGCAGGTGCGCTATTATTTACGCCGGTTCAGACCGGTTTTATCAACCCCGCCAATCTAAAGGTTAACACCACTACAGGGTGAGCCTTTTATGAGTGCTTATACTTGCTGATGACTTTGATCAATGATTTACAAAGTGGCAACATGTTATTTGTAATGTACTACTCATAAGGTTGCTGAGGACTACTCGACAGCCCAAGACCGGTTTCGCACTTCTTGGGGCTCATCAGGTAGGCGCAGTCCCCTGGTTTCCGTCAACCTTATGTTCTACTTGAAACCAAATTGCACGAAATTAGCGAATATACACTCATCTGCAAACTATTTTGGGGACATGTTAGTTTACCAATGACATCTATGTTGCAACCTCTTCACACTCGACTACTTTTCAGTGCTTCTGGAAGTGCATAACCCTGTTAAATACTTTAGGAACAAAAATAGGTTAGCAAAAGTTTCCTCGCGGAAGAGCAGAGAATAAACTCAATTATTATCTTATATTTTTTTCAGATTGCACATATTTCTGAATGAATCACGTCGCCTGATATGGGCGTTTGTGGGTGCCATTCTTGCAAACTGAGCTTTTGTGATTGTGAACAGGTGAAGTAAAATGATTTCCCATTCGGGGCGTTCTTTATTACAAAAACATGCATGTCTGGTATAAAGTCGTCTTTTGAAGAAACGCAAAACAGAAGATTGGATAGAGTAGATCACAAACTATACGATGCTTTTGGTTCCTTGCGCGGAAAGTCTACAACAACCTACCTGCATTAAAAGAACTACAACCTTTTGGCAACAAAACTGCTTCAGCTGCTTTGAAGTACAAAAATGTTTCAACAATCGTGTTTAAGTCAGCTTTTGCGAGCATTCGAAGAAATTGCGTGGAACAAGGTTGTAAGCCTTGTGGTTTGAGTGAAATATTTAGACGAATAATTAATGTTTACAAAACGAACTTTGCTGTTTGTGAATATAAAAGGTTGATTTATATGTTGAATTGAAGGTCCCTGTTTGAGTGTCTCTGCAACGAATGAATGTACACATTCACCGCTTTGATGGTATTGGAAAATAGGTTTAACTACCAACCTACGAAAATAATTCTGGCTTATGTAGGAGAAACTCCTAAAACTCTTGAATACTGGATGAGTGGAAACTGCCGAGAAAGCCAACAGTAAATAAGATTGGGTATTCAACATGGGGGTTCACATTGTGTGGTGCAGAGAATACTTGGTCAGCGTCTCTGGTTTCAAATTAGCTATTTTGTCTGCAGTGTTGCACGCCAGTTATGACACCAAGATTACACGGTGTTTCACTCGGATTCACGCGAATATTTTGTGTTATCCCAAATACCTACAAGAGACGACTAGGCCACCTACCAAATACCTGAGAATTTATTTCGAAATTTGGACAACTAAATAATCCAAAATAATAAGGATTTAGCTATAAATGAGTACCAAAACACCATACAAGTTCTATTCTGCTACTAAATTGCAGTTCGCAAGTTGGCATGTTTGTATTATTCTTAAGGCTGCCACCCGTTTTACGGTGCTTTTCATGCATTGCGCTAGTGAACTTCCACGAAATCCATCACCTGTTTCACAGTTATGGCATATTCCCATCAATGACCGTATACGACTCTTGTTAAGAATCAATATCCCGTCCTTGCCGATCACGTTTATTCGGTTGAATATACATGTCAGTGTTACAAAAAACCACCGAGATGTTGGAGGAAGACGTGATGCACGTATTTATTGCCATAGTAATTGTTGAAGCTAGTAAAGGATTCCTGGTCTTCATGGATTTCTTAGAAATGTTCAGCGCCACAGCTCAACGCAATAGTCAAAAGTATTCACCAGCGCAATTCTTGAATGGATCTTGATTGCGCAGTAAACAGATACAGAAAAAAAGAGAAAAGGAAGCTGTTTTTGTTCTATACTTAGCATCACTTAACCAGTTAGGGTTTTCAGCTATTAACTGGATAAAGACAGCAATTGTCGAGAAGATAAGTTTTAAAAATTTTCATCTGTTTTGCTCGAAATCTTACACTAAGTTTTTGTGAAACCAGCACAAACATAGAAAGACCTCAGTGGATTTGATTTCAGAATAAAAACTAAACACGAGATGTGGGAACGTTGATTTTTTATATTGGATAGTTTAAAGTGAGAAAGCGGTGAAGAGATAAATTGACCCAGCCAGTCAAGATGCCGGCAAAATAATCCGAAAACATGTTGCCTGAGTCGTTTAAAACGCTCGGTGATGAAAGATATTCATCTCACAATAAATAAGCTGGGATCAGCCTGCACTGTTTCCCAGGATGAGAAAACACGATGAAACTATGTGGTGGCGTTGTATTTTATATAACACACACCGTCCGTAAAATAATGCAAATTGTTTTAACCGTTGTGACACAGCCATGTCAGTTAGATATATTTACAACTTGTTTTACTTCCACGTCAACTGTGTAAATTGTTGTAGCTCAATCGCACGAGAAAAAGTTGTGCAATTTTTCTATAACGTAACCCACATTTATGGCGTGCAAAGTAGAAAAGTGACAGGTTACAGTTTCATTGTAAATGATGATGTTTTATTTTTGTAATTTTTGCACGACGCAGTTGATAAGAAGGAAACAGAGGATAAAGATTCCAGCAGGCCTGACCAGGACTCGAGATTTAGACACTCAATTGGAGCTGCTTAAAGAAGTCCAACTTGTGCTCCTAAAACAAAGTTATGCCAACGCAGCTAGTGGTCTGCTTTGCAAGTCGCTATTTTGCTTGCCACGTTTGACAAATCGGGTGTTGCAGTAGATATTTGAGGACCACGTTAGCCTCAGAGATGAACGCGGGTTAATAGACTTATTTTTATTGGTGGAAGAGTATTTAAGAATTTTAGCTGAAATATATGCGCACTTCCGAATTTCAGAAGCTTTACGCAACCGGAGATTTTAAACCGTGTTCCACAGGCGTTCCTGCTGCTAGCGGGAATAACAGCAACTCTGCAAATAATAGGATTTCTGCTCATGCAGGAAAAACCGCAAGTGAGCCTTTTTTCTCTGGTAACTGCAACCTAGATGGCCTGCAAAAAAAGAGTGGGTAACCTTGATGTTTCTGTGCCTGTGCTGACAATCTGGGTAACTCTAACTCAGAGAATTTCCGCAGAATAAATCATCAAAATTTGTAGTTTTTGCCTTTCCATCCATAATTGGTGGAGCTTTTTTAAGACAAAATTCCAAGGTTTGATATGCTAATGAAAGAAGATGTAGCTGAACAGTCTTTCTCTCACGAGAGCTGCATTCCCAAACAAATCAAACGAACAGCAAACTCTTGGACGAGCCAACACTGCCTATGGCTCACCTGTCGAAGGACTGTAATCTCGGTGACGGAATGGATTGAAGTCAAATTATTACTTAGTTGTAGTCGATAAACTTTATCATTATTCGCATTGTTGTTTTGGTAACCAAAGAATTGGGGAAACTGCTTTGCTGATGAGTTTTTAACAAGTCACACCCTTCCCCATTTGTCACGTCCAGCAACAGACAGGCATTGTTCGCGAGTCTCATCTAGCACAAACTTCTCACAAGTTGCAACTCAGTTCATATATAGTTCACATGGGTTGTAAATAACTATTTATCGCCAACATCGGCAGTGGCGTGTTTTGCTTAGCCAATTTTAAGCATCCGTTCACCCTAAGTAAGATTTTATGACCCAGCATACAACAGCTCATTAAGATGGCTCAATGGTTACAGCGCGAACTTACTAACTGAAAGGTCCGTGATTTGAACCGGACTGCTGCATCTCGACTTCTCTAACCTAGGCTTAAGCTATCTGGCAGTATCTCGGCCCTCATGCCTCCTTCAGGAAGCATGGCACCAAGGCACAGAAAGGGTGTTAAGGCTGAACCATGTATGCCCTCTATTCACCCAGTTGTGTTGAGTGGCATGTTTCCTTTATCTTGCTCTCTAAGCTATTCTGTTAAAAAAGTAATAGTCAATTAGTCACAGACATATACTATGCATAGTCCAGCAAATGTCCGCTATGGGTGAAAAATTCCACTATGTTATCCTAGAATGCTTGCTCTCATGTATTGTTCGGATTGCCCCAAAAAACAATTAATCAAGTTCAGTCGATATACATATAGGCTGTTTGTCAACTGCTCGTTCACAGGGTTTGGAACAATACCACCAGCCTACAGGTGTCGTATAGTATAGTAGTGGTATCATATAGTAATCATAGTATGTTCTATATTGTACAGTAGATATTTAAGATATGTGACTCGCAAACAAAAGCCCTTCGCAGTTGTAAAGCCTCAAGTTATTTGAAAAACCCAAACAAATAAGCCATTTAACTAAATTTATGAACTGTTCCACCAGTCAAAAGAATTACTAACGTCTCTTGACGCATTCACAGTCCGCTATAGAGAATGAACATCTTGGCTCTGAAGGCGGGAATGTAACTTATTCAGAGGTAAGTAGTGTCTATTCATCCTTTGATTTTTATTGAGAATTTAATGAGGCCATAATTACTTAGACATTAAAGTAATTACGCACCATCCACAGACTGGATTCAGTTTATACAGAATTTGTGCTCAAGAATATAGAAGTTCTTTGTGCACGTCCTCCCCAGGATACCTTATATGAGTCCATATCTACCTCAAACGTTTCATAAATGTTAAGTTATGCCATTTGTTGTGTAGTTTTAGGAACTTGGATAACCCTCATAAAGTTATGCTTATCTTCACGTGACTGAGGGAAAATTCGAATCTGTGGCTGCTAGCCTGATTGCCCATCCACTCACCTTTCCTTATGAGTAATGTGTGGTAAATGGTTCATGCAATAATGACAGCTACGATGTCAAATATATTCTAACAAATCTTGAGTCCAGTGAACAATAAAAAAAAACCAAAGTGCGATACTTTAACAATCTTACAAAAACAGTCTGTCGTGATTGTCTCTCACACGTAAACATCTTTGAAATCCGCAGTAAATGTGTCCAGCTCCTTCACAGTCCGCCAACGTATATCTAATTATCTAATCTCAAAGACTTTTGAAATGGTCTTTGATAACATATTCGTCAGAGCTATATAGGAATTGCCTATTCAGAAGCATAGCAACAGGGAGTCGGTTAAGTCGCGTCAAATTTCAGTTTGCTGCTAAAGGACGAAATAATATTTTTCGTAATTTTCTCAAAGCTTGCTCCTTTGCCAAATTTTGAAACCCTTATGGAATTTTCGTCCAACGCTTGACGTGAAATTACTCCATCAAAAGATTTTGTTTGCTCTGTGTAGCTTTCTTTAAGACATTCCAAAGTTTTTGGAAAAACACTAGATGTGTTACCTGGAGAGTTGCCACTGAGGTCCTAATATTATCTGAAAATTGGTCGTTTCGTTGCTTGCAACACATACTAAGTAAAGGAAAGATGTACTCGTGACCAAAACTTTGGTCGCTGTATTTTAAATAGTCCCATACTCACTTCCACATATATAACATGCCAAACTATGAGAGGAATAATAAACCAACGCCATAAACATGATTACAGCTTGATTTGGTTTGTTGAGTATGGAAAGTGCTTTCAGAAGTGTCGATTAAACCCGAACCAGTGTTTGACTAAAAAAATTGTTAGAAGCCTGCTTCTTTCACGAATCTATCTTCTGCTCAAGATTCAGACACATGTTTGGGCAGTTACCCGATTGCAGCATAGTTCGAGAAGTGTTTGGTCCAATAATGTGATTTCTCTTTAACATCCTATTCCGTACGCCATCTCGAACAAATAATGAGGAACGTTGTACTATCATCAGCGGTAGTGATAGCGGCTTTTATTTTCAAAATTGCCTATCACGTGAGCATGAAATATCTGTTAGTCGGAGCTTTGAAAGACTCGGAAAAAGAATAAAGCGTGGAGCAGATATTTACAATTTGCACCCCTAGCAACATTAAATTTGGTAATTTACATCTAAAACGACATTACAGTTGAAGCTAAGATCCGAGGGTAATCATCATCTTACTATGGATCCCAAAAATATAAAAGCGTGCAACAGCATGGATTTCAAAAGCGAAAGGGTAAATTATTTTAACTAAGTAAAATAAGATTGGTTTTGGGCCGCAAGTTTTATTTTTGATTGAACTACAAATGTAAACCACAAGTTGCACGCATTAATTGGTTTTATCACCAACAGAACATAGACTTCGACGAAGACGAAAAAACGACGAAGCGGTCCAATCTTGTAAGTACGGTTGTGGTTGTTTTGAAAGCTGGCTACTCAGTCCGTTTTCTTCCAATTGTTATGCTTGTATATATTTTTATAAAATTTGATGCAACTTTTATCTGGGGGAAGCAGCTTACGGGGGAAAATAATACTTTTTTGTATCACAGTAGCTCACAGGCCCGTAAAAGGGTTAGGTAATACTACGGTGGTCTCAATGATTACTGGTTTATCATCATAAAGGTGACATTGAGTTTTGCCAAAGTTGACAAAATGTTTAGCGTTTTTCCCCAGTTTAACGACACTGCGTGACTGACAGTGCTGAGTGGAGCTCCTCGGCTTGCCACTACCGGTTTCATTTTCTTAAGTCTCATCAGGTGGACATAACCTCATCAGTTGTGCTCTCCGGCTACAAAAAGTTATTCGCCGTTCAGCACATTCTGTCAGTCAATATCTTCTTTTATTCGTTTCAAGTTATTTTCACAAAATTGGGTGGGAGATACTAGTTTAGTATCTGTCTGTTCGGATGTTCTTACAATGGACATACTGTGGCTATTTTAATTATGACTGATTGTTTTTCAAAAGTCATTTTGTCACTTCACAAGAACTGCATACACTTATTAGATAAGCCAAATAGCACACAGTTGCAAGTGAGCTCCTTGTATAAGTAAATTACTTATGAACGTCAATGTAGTAATATGTGGTGACGAAAGATAGTTTAAAATGATTGTAACAGCCGACGGATGGATTAATACTCTTAACAGCAACGGATTTCATTTCAACTTCTATCAAGAAAGTGCGTGGTGAAATTTCAGATAAGCAGTCTTGTATCTAAATGCAAGTGAGGTTTGAGAATGTCTCGTTTTCTTGCAAAAAGGGATTGACAGATCTCATTAAAGGAACCTGCTTAACCTTAACAAAAAAGTGCATTGAGCTAAAATGACCAACGATCGGAATGGATTCCTGTTTACCTTGTTTTGCATCATTATTTCCCTTATTTCTATCGTGGGACAGATTAGCTTTTTAGATGTGCATGTTGAGTGAACATGGGTCCGTGAAACCCGAGCAGATATGCGACCGTCCAGGGAACGTCAAAGCATTGATTTTGGGGCCAATACTACTATTATAAAATTATTGAAAAAATTATAAGCTTGAACAAATCTTTCAGACTTGACTTTCGTAAGAGTGATCAAAATCTCAGTTTGTGCTGTCACCACTTAAATACTTAAATAGGGATTGCGCGAGTTGAATGAATCGCAATGTCGTCAGTTTAGAATTCTGGCTACTATAAACTATGTGACCGACTAAATTGTTGGAATTTGTTAGGCACTTGTCAATTTCAGTGTGATTAGTCATGCGCCCTAACAGAAGCAATTAATTGCTAAATTGGAAACAAACATGTGAATTTTCTGTATTATGCCCGAGCGCGCATAAATCATATAAAAATTCAATTGAAAGAAACTTGCCAATTTACTAAGTTCAACGTTCAGTTTAAATTAACGACTTGCAGGGCCGATTGAGAATGTGTTCAATTCACTCTCTAGACGACTTGACAAGTTAGCATACATCAGAACGATTTCCACAGAAGAAAGCCAACTAAGGGTGCGAACATTATCCCAGCTTCACCTTACTTTACATTAAGGAAAGTGGTCTTAAGCCAAAAACGATTTACCATTCATGTTAGAATTATTACATGAGTTTTCCTGTGAGAATGACCGCAGGCATATATGTGCACTATTTAATCTTTCGAAACCTGGAATGTTCAAACCGATTGATGTCGGCAATTGCAGTGAACATAGTTGTCCCTAACAGCTAAACCTCCATGGTGAAATTCATAAACTGAGCACATGATCTAAGGCGCAAGAAACGTGGTTTTGCTTCGGTTCATTTGGTGTCTGACAGCTCCACGTAGAATGATATCTCAGCTGCTGGTATAACTGCTGATGGGAGGGCGTGCGAGTAGTATGTTCTCTCTTAAATCCGCTTTGCATCTCTTGAAAAGTGAGATCTACTACGGCATTTGTAGAGTCACTTTGTGATATTTGCATAGAGTTTAGCGACAGCCAATCACTATCCAGAAAAGGTCAAAAGGACGAGTTCAAGAGGAAGATGGATATTCAGTTTTTGTAAACAAGATGCATATGAGTGTTTTGCTTCCCTGTCCAGTAGTCTGTAACTCTTCATTTGTCATTTCCAAATAAATAGCTCCGCAGCGAAGGCCTTCTTCCGTTCACTGGTATTCATCTTCCAGCGATCGGGAACAAGCAGATATTTGAAGAGCTTCATTCGTGCTTCCATTACCTTTCAAATTACTTTCACGTTGGTTAAGCCTTAAATGCGTATATCGCATCAAGATATTTGGCAGGCATTTCGTCAGCACTGGCGACCACTTTGGCGCATCATGCCAATAATGCGAAAAAGTATGTACAAAAATCTACACTCGATATTTTTTCCTGATCTGGAAGAACAGGGTTCCGAACCAACGGCTGCAAGCGAATTTTGGTCGAAGACCGACATCAACTCGTTAAAATAGATAGTTTCAGTTTTCTTTGGTTTATTATCCTTTATGATATGAACGGATATACGAAAGTTTTGAAGCTAAGTTTTCTTCTGTTGGCGATCAAGCTGGATGACGAAACGTTCTAGTAAAATGGCCGTAATCCGAAAAATACGTGACGATCTTTGAGAGGTTAACCGGTTATCCGGTTCACATGTTATGCGACACAGTCCCAGAGACTTTCTTTTCAAACATTTGATCAAACCAATTAGTCTCTCTATGCCATGCTGTGACGAACAACCACCGCAACACCAATGGAAAACACTTTATATTATGCCTTTGTCACTTAGCCACTTTAAAATTCATCAACGTTGAGTATATTTGTAGGTGATCATGGGAGCGAGATATGAGGATATGTGTGCGAACACTACGACTATATAATAGTGGTGTAAGTGGTTAATAAATGTACGATATGAATTTTCGTCCATATTAAAAAGATAGATTTTGCACCGGATTTTACGCTGTAGTAAGGCGAACACTGGTAAAGTGCTTCCAAGATTATTCCTTTTCTTTTACGTTAATTTTCAGCAGCAGAGATCTTTTTGTTTAACAACACTCAAAATAATGCACGGTACAGCTTTTAATGAACTGCCAGGATTAGTATGTTTGTTAGTTTATTGATAGGTTAATAACATCCAGAATTTGCAGACCAGATTGTGTGAGAGCCTTCAAATTCTCCATTATCTGCTCATTTGCTCTCAGTAATTTGGTTTGTCAACCGTGTTTGATATCCTTTTTCCCATTCTAGTACTACGTGAATTGGGATCGTAGCAGGTGAGATTTCCTTGTTGACCAGTGGGAAATAATTATGCCATATAAATCTTGAACTGCGCATAGCACGGGCTGTCAGAATGGCCCTCTGATTTGTGCATCTTGCCAACAAATTTCAAAGTTACACCATACTCCGAGTGATGTTTGTTGTGGGAAACAGTGATTTAGAATTTTTTAACCGGTTCCAACCAAGCTAACGTGACGTGCATCGATGTGTTTGCCCAGCTTTTTCTATTCTTGCAGATATTTAACCAGGCTGATAAGGGGTGGGATCTCGTGTCCTACAAAGTAGTCGACCTTTTAGTTCATAAACATTTACATTTATAATAACAGTTTCACAACCACCATAATTTGAGGCTGTTTCTGCCAAACGTTCTGTTGAAAGCTTCCCAATATTGACTTCAACACAAATAGATGACGCTGGAATTGTCAAGCTGTGTTTATTTATATCAGCAGATAAAGGACGATTTATTGAAACGGATCCAACAAAGTGAGGCAACAAATTTCCCAACTTTCTTTCACATTAGCGAACAGCTTAATAAAGCCTCAAAGATGACAATATTAAGATTTCGTTAGCAAACCACGGGATTCTTACTAAATTCATTGTTTGTAGGACTGGCGTAACAATTCTTATATTTGAAAAACCAATGAAAATTCAGATTTTTGTGTACCTTTTAACTCATCCAGAAAACTTTTTAATGAAAGCCCAAATGGGACAATGAAAATGTTATTACATTTAAATTTGAATTTGCAGCAATAAATATAATTGACTTGCACTGTGTCCGCAGGCTTCTACAGACCTAAATAGACAATTTCTTTTGCGCCACTGTCAGAAAACTGATAAATTAAAGTTAACTCTCTAGTTAAGTAAGCCATTTTGCTACTTTGGGTAGATTAAAATTTCCTAGAAGCATCAAAATGATGCTAAGTAAACCTGTGATTCGGAAAACTAAGCTCAAACCTATTTCTTAGACTGCAGCAAGACACATGAGAAAAAACGCGGTAGGACATGCTAGTGTTCGGCGTTGGATATTCCAGTACCATGGTCGACTCAGGAACCACAATACCTGGCATCTGCCGTTTATAACATTGTTAGAGCGATAATTGGGTCATATGACGTACCTAAATTATTTAGTATGGGTTGTGAGACCTGGTATTTGTTTATCCCGCCGTCATGAAATATATTTACACGTACTCTTGTACGGAGCTTCATTGTCTATCAAACGAAGTTATTTTACCGTCAATTTGACGTCTGTTTATGTTTTCTTCCACACAATTTCAAAAGTTCTGGTTTTCAGGCAGATTTATAACGATTGACACTATGTATGAAATAATCCCCATTCACTTTAACCACGGAGTCAGTTTGACAATATTTCCAACTACCAGTTGCTCGGAGAACTTTATTGGTTGTTGATTAGGTGGTAGTTGATATGCTTGTCGTGCTTCGTAATTAAATCGCAAATATATCAGAACAACATCAAAATATACCTCCAGTGACCCGCTGGATTTGTAAGTGTTTCATCTTTGTTTCTGGGGAGAAAATATAAGTACGCGATTGTTTGTGGGTACGCTGCTACGTAATGTGTTTGGTTTGTTTGGAATTTAGGCAAATTTTTGGATTTGTTGTTTGTTTACTTGCACAATATTAAACAAACGTCAAAGCAACTCATATTAACCTATTTAACAGTGTATCAAAGCGGGAGGTTGTGGAAAATCTACTCGTCAATTTGCGCAGTTAATATTTTCCGCAAGCTGACAAAATGTTTTTAGGAGGCGAGCAAATAAACAGCCACCTGATCAATGGCGAAGAAAATGAATTTGATTGAATCCTGTCGGATTTTTTATTACAGTTAGATGCCGTCTTATCGGCCCAGGAATATTTATTCAGAAATGATACATTTGTCCCAATGGAGAAAGTCTGATACTGGACAGAGTAGTTTTGAACATTTGAAATCACGGTTCATGTTTCCCAGCTCATGATTTATCTTCGATAAATACGGCTTCTTTACGAAGCTAACGGAATATGAACCAGTGACTGCTTCCTCCAAAATAGTCTTTCATTGAGGATTTTAGGATAATTTGGTGTGATTATTAGCTTTGTGATTTTTATCATTCCGCTACAGTAGGTTGTACCCAGTCTTATCACCAGATGCCTTTTAATTGACTTACCCTCAACAGGATGGTTGACGTACCGCCTCTGACTGTTTTCAAAGCCCTGGACTTTTATCTTTTGTGGCTCTCTGTATGTTGCGGTGCCATTCCTATTACCCTGGTGACTTCTTTGTATAAGGTGAGTAAACGTGTTCTACAGTTGACTACTTCAATGGCTGTAGCTTATCCGGCCTGCTCTTTTCAAGCGACAGTTACAAGAGATGAGAGTGCATTTTTGGAGTTGACCCACTACCACGACAACCTACACCTTTGGATTCCAAATACTTTCAGCGTCCGAACAATTTTGTTGTTGTTTATCGCATGTCATTTACAACTCACTCTTTGGTTATTCTGTGAGGTGCTACTGTCAAAAGAATAATCCAGCACTGCGGGTGAAATTTTATTCTACGATCTGAACTACTCACAGATTGCCAAGTGAAAGTGTATATTGCAAACAGTTTGATCAATTCTTAACTCAAAATTGGAGTTACTGGTGAAATGCATGGTTAGATAAATCAGAATTAGTGAGTATATCCAGATGGCGATCACCGCAGCTGTTACGAATGCGCTGTTTTCGAGTAATATTGAAATTTTCTGATTGCACTTGGCGTATCAAGCTCAGTGATCCGTGGATGAGCAGAAATAGAGATCGCCATGTGTCAAACTGGTCCGTTTGTACTGAATGACGGCATGTCGCCTGCAAGTCCTTATAATTGGTGTCGGACTTAGTTTGCGAAACTTCCACAAATGAGTAAATACATTACCAGGCAGAAAAATCAAACCTGAAGGTTACGCTTCAGAATTAAGCAGTAAGTCCAATTGTTGTTTTTACTGTTACTATACACACAGATCATAAACTTATACGCATATTGTTTACTACCGTACCGCTTACTCAAGCTTACCGTTAACCAAAAAGTATAAAGCTAATAACATTTGACAGGTTTGGGCACGGACAAACCGATGTGACAGACAAACAAACCAAGGAATATTCAGTAACGTGCAAGCATAAGCAGAATAAGTTGTGTGCTCATCGGAGGTTTCAAGCAAAGCATAAAAATATTGCTTTTCTATTGTTTTAATGCTACTAATTCACTGAATGTAGAGAAAAGATTTTGTTGAATTTTAACTGCAAAACTGAAGAAATAACTCATGACAAATTGAAAGCGGAAAGTAAACTCGGTTTGATTTTTGAACGTTTTTTACACCTTAACGTAAAATTTCTTGTAGTTAACTTAAATTGATTTGAACGCAGTCTGATAAAAGACCAAAACACAATTGTATATTTGCAAGTAGATCTAGATATGCCCTTATTTGTTGAACAAATCGCCCCATTGGGATTTCTGCAGATATTTGACACAAAGCTCTTATTATCAATAACTATTAGGTTAAATTAAGTATAAGATATACGCACATGGATGCTGATCCTTGATTGGTCGGCCCATTTGTTTTTCTAGTGGTTTGTACACCGTGGTTATTATTGCTGTTAATCTTTCGTATGCCGACTACCCTCCGTTCGGTAATATTGGTTTTATCTGACCTGAACAGCTGACTTGATTCAGCTTCAAAATTTACTTGAGTGGGGTTTTTATATCCAGAGGGCCGCTTCAATCAATAGTATATGGTTCTGTTAGGTTTCCATCTAGTACTTCACCTGTGGAAAGAAATCAGTTTACATCTCGGTCACGTAAACTATGCACTAGTGTCTACCTAAAACAATAGCTATGGACACAAAATGTTGCGTAATATCCTGGACACGTTTAATTTTGATCCAGTTTCAGTCCTCGGCGGTTCATAATCGCCCGGATTCGTTAGATGATGCTTAGATAGGTGACTATTCAGATAGCTTTTGGATATCCGTCCTTTGTTTCCTGCTTTCGCGTATTTGTCTAAAGTCAACAGCAGCATGTATATTCAGCCACTGAATTTACCTTCAAAACACCCACCCTTCGTTTGATATCAATTTGTGTGAAGATGCCGTCGTGAAATGCTTTCAGCTTATTGAGCTTCGTGTCGGTTGTTTTCCACAACCAGGTTGCTGGAAGCCGGTATATCTACGACGATATCTTTCTTGCTGGAGTGTCGATGGCCGCATCTGTATGCAACTCTGTTGGTCGTGTTATTTGGGGTCGGATTTGTGACCGTATTTCATTTAAAGTAAGACACTTGCGATTTCTTACCAGTGGTTAACCTAAGACCGAGCAGATTGCAACTTGTTTGGTTATATTGTTATACAAAACGTCCTTCAATGATTGGTGTCTTACTTTTACCATCAAATGATTTCATTTTATGTATATTTTCGCACATGATTCTTTAGGAACCTTATACTGCAAATAATCTAGGAATTATGGTACACAAATCATAATATTTCGGGCAACTTTCAAATAAATCATGGTTTGGTTCAGTTTGACAATTTGCTGTCGAAAAGCAATATCAAAGGAAGCTGATGCTGTCAACGCTAAACTGTGGGGAATGAAAAGCCTCCTTTGATGATCACAGTAGGAATCAACGAAGCCTTATTTGGAAATGTATTGGGCTGTGATGGGGCTTTGGATTTCATCGTATGTATTCATTGAGGATCGCATGAGATAAATAAAAGTGATCACTTCAAGGAGCATTATGTGTAGCCCAGGTTTATGATTTTTTGTGCAAAATTAACCGCATCGCTTGTTTGCGAAAAATAACTCCGATTTGTTTTCGAACATGAACTAGTTGTTTCGCATTTGATGCAGTCTTAGCCTACAATGTTGGCTTAAGAAGTAAATTTCTCTGTGTAACCAGAATGTTTTTCTGTCTCTAAATACGTTACCTTCATTTTTTGTAGTGAACTGATCGTTTCCATTTTGTTCGGTCGCTGAAGCGGCATGATCAATGGCAACAATCTACTCACAAATGCTTTAGCATACCTATATGTTGAGTGTGATTCAAACTTCGGAAAAATGTTATATAATCTGATATGCACCTGCCGATCAACCACACATTTGGTATTCGGTGTTGAGTGTGATCAGCCTGGATTGTTGGAACTTACTATTTTTCATTGCTCCGATCTTGGATTTTGAGCTTGTCACCTGTTAGTTGACTCTTCCGTCATTCAGGCCTACTTCGTAGTTCATATTGTATGTTAGCTAGCAACTGGGTGATAGCTTACCGAAAAGTTGGTGTTTGATTGTTTCGATGACTAAAGTAGGTGATGATCTTTCAGCCTATCTGCAAGAAACAGAAGTGGTAAAAGGGTACGCTTTCAGACTTTGGCGCCTTCTGTAAAGAGATCTAAATTGACCCAACTTACGCAGACCATTCTGTAGAGAATTCGTCCATAGATGGTGGAGACGCATAGTTGCAGAGACCAAAATAATGATGCTAGAAATGCGAAGTATCACACAAATCTCACATAGGCCTCATGGATTTGACTAGGGATAATGGACGCTTATCCCAGCGAAAGTCGGTATTTTGAACTGATATACTGTATGAAGTTTGTTGGTAATCGACCTATACGTCGGTTTTTAAATGTTAATACTGTATGAGATATAATGTAGACTTTGAACGAGTCCATTTGTTTGAGCAAGAAACATTTGTAAACGAATTCGTCTAAACCGGTCAAAGTAATTGCCATGGGAAGATAGATGCTAAAACAAGACACGCAAAACAAATGTTTTATTTCGCTGCAATCTAACAGGATCTGTACAGATCTTGATAGCAGTAGGCCTCTCAAGTTCAACCAAACCAGTGTGGTAGGCTTAAAGAAGGAACACTGTCTAATCCAGAATACAAGGTTTACTTACGTGACCGCTGTTACAAAGTTTGAGTCCAGATTTTTTTGATGCGACATCCAGAGTCGCTGGAAAGATCATTGAGAAAGACCAATATTGTTTTAGTATTTCAGCAAAATTGAGTATGAAATTTCTTGTTTTGAATGTGTTTACCGTGAAATGTTAGAAGCTCTGAATATAAGGTACACAGCTCCAGGACATCATGCCGCTAAGGCCTAATTCGTCAGGCCTATCCACCACAGCGAACAGAAAGCCAACCCAGCATTAAATATTGAGCACATTGTGTGAAGTTCTATTTCTTCCCAAAATAATTTTTGTCGTTATTTGTGCTTCCCACGAATAATATCTGAGAGATCTTGTTGCTGATTTGACCGACATGTGAATCAATGAACATTCAGTAGATTGCGAAGATAAGCTGAATAAGTTGTACTCTTCTGCGATCCCGATGACCAGTAAACATCTCAAGAGCTCGATAATCTATCACTTTTGTCTCGTTCACTAAGTACGTACATGGTTAGTCTGTTTGTGTTTTGGTTGCTTATTCTCTGTATTTGGTTAGGCGTTCTGCTCAATTTGAAATACTACGTCATCAGAAGGTTAGCTGTTGATTCATTTGAAGAAAACGGGAAATGCAAATCATTGATTGATCTTAACTGAGTGACTGAAAGCCACCACTGATTGTCACTGTGCTACACACATTCATACTGTGGGTTTTAAGTGAATTGAATGTACCGGCCTGCGAGCGAAAGTACTGGTTTTCAGGAAGGATTTTCTGTTTTCCTGCTATTCATATATCACAAACATGGGGTTTCTTTACCCTAACTTGATGCAAAGCTAGAAATATCTGTCAGAATCACTTGACGGTCGTAGGGAACGTTTCCAATGCCGATGATTTTTCGCCACTGGCACATACAATAGGCAATTTACTAAAGTAAACGGCAAGCCAAATATTGAGAATATCCACTTAATCAAACCGAATTCACGTTAAATCATCTATTCGGATCTGAAGTCCAGTCAGCATTACCAGACAAGTCGATTGAAGTCATGGTAGCTTTGGGAGTTTTATAACATTTTCTGCACACTGCACCATGTGTTCTGGCTAACTGGGCTACAGTAGCCATATTACTGGTGTTCAGTAAATGTGACACAATGGCTTGTGAAAAATACACCAGGACCTGCTTTAACTGTCCTAAGACAGTAGTAAGAACGTCTCAGTCATCAATTTCCTATGCAACGTATATGAACACGAGTTAGACTGGACCGAGAACGCTGAGATCGGTAGATTAATGTTTTTGACCGGCGACAACCTTAGCATGAACTAAATACGTAAATGTAATAAACAAGTCGGTTTCCTGTCAATTGAAGAGATATTTAGCGATGGTGTAAATACCACAGTTTAGAACAAAATAAATTCGGCAGCCAAACTTTTAAGATGCCTCATGCAGACCGACAAATATGGCAAACTTATCCTATTTTAGATGTAGGTTGTAGAATGCTTTCCAATGGGTTTGAGTTAACGTTTCATCATTTCCATGATTTATTTCTGGTTAACAGTACCTATATATGTGGTTTAATGTTGTATCCATCACTAAACTCTTTCCGGAGATCGAACAATGCACATTTTTATTCAAAAAATTGGCAGGCGAATTTGAAATAAGGGCTCCATTTTAGGAATGTATTTGCGTACGTGGATGAAGTGGTGCGTTTCAATCAGCAGTAAAACAATGCAAGATACGCAAGTAAAATTTTTCATTTATCTCAACCAAACTGCTATCAAACACCGGTATCTGTAAGGACTAACATCCAGGTCAAACTGGTATCACCTGCTCTATAGCACACTTTACTTTGAGATTTAATTCTATATGTGATGTGGTTAACCACGACTATTTTTGTAGTAGTATTGATATCTCCGGATCATGCGAATATAATACGCAAGGAGACATTACTTTGCAAGAGATAAAATTTCTAGGACCACAACGTCACACACTAGTATTTTGAACAGCTATGTTGAAAGACGAAACATAGCTGACAAATGAAAACATCTTGGCTGCAGCTAGGGATCAATTTGGATAGGCTGGTAATTGGATCTGCCGAATAGTGAACAGGTGTCCGCAAAATCACATGCACTTTATGGGTCATTCAAAGCGCAATGAATAATCGGGATGAACACATGAACGCAGCACATTCACATGTTGGAATGAATAAATTTACCGTTGATAATAATGCAGTGGTGTTTTCCACAGAATGTCCAATAAAACGTTCATATTTCAAACGAATAAAAGGAGTTTTGCTGTATTAATGGATTCAGTGGTCCATAAGTTGAAGCAATTTGGACATTTGATGGTGTCTTCAAATGTCCGCGATTTCTAGAAAGTTGACCCGACCATTTTCAGCGATGGAAGTCTAGAAAGTGAACTGTGATACATTCACACAACTGGAAAAGCTAGTATGTCGCCTCTTATGATATCGACAAGACAACACTCGTCACCCAATGAAGAACGCCTCTTAGGCACGCTAACTGGCCTAATTCAGTAGTGCACTGACGAAGTCGAGGCAATCGACACTATGAAGAAAACTGTTTAAGGTTAAACCTCAGGAGCGGCAGGAGAAGCCTACTGTAAACCAGCCCGTGTAACAGAAAATCAAGGCCCAGTATTTTGCTTTCCTGAGGAAAGACTGGAATAAACGCCTGAGTTATGAGGAATATACAACACCATTGGTTCCCGAAGCTGGTGACGTAGCCTTCAATGTGGAAGGGATAACTGCTTTCTAGGTTATAACTTCACTGTAAACTAGTAGTGGTATATCTTTGTAATGTACTACTCATAAGGTTGCTGAAAATTCATTGACAGCCCACGACCGGTTTCGCCCTTCTTGGGGCTCGACAGGTAGGCGCAGCTATCGAATATACACCCATTTGCAAACTAATTTGGTTTTTCGAGAGACTCATCTAGAACCCGGCTGATGTTTCTGAGTAACTAGATGTGCTGCAGCAAGCCGCCTCATGTTTTAGTCGCTACGACATTTGAAATATCGCGATACATGTATATCTTTGTAATGCAAGACTAATAAGGTTGCTGGTGCAACACATTCAGTTGCCTGAGAATATCATGAACGAGAGATTCAGCTGGGTTCCAGGTGAGTCTCTCGAAAGAACCAAATTAGTTTGCAAGTGAGTGTATATTCGCCAATAGAGTGGTAATTATTGGTCTAAACTAGTATTTTTTTATTCATGCAATCTGGCATATATTTTCATCTATCTTATCACTAATACTTGCGGCTGATCTAACAGCTGCTACATTGTGAACTTAAAGCTAAGAAGGATAAAGCAGATGAACAAAACTTTTGCCACTGGACGAGGTTGAATGCACTTGTTTCAATCGTTCATAAATAGTAGTCCGAAAACTTTGGGGGAAGTTGAGATTAAAGAACATTGTGTAATAATACATCTTACTTAAGCACCAACTGCAGTGACGTTGTTCCTAAATTTGCTGGGACAACTCGTGATGATCGCATGTAAGCTTGTAAGCCGAAAAACTGCCACCCTACCAACGGATCCTGAAAAAAACGAGTTAACAATATCTGGACACACTTAATGTGGGTGCTGTCCTCAAGGAGACCGTTTAAAAAGATCTAGTGTGGTGAGTTGATGAACTTTAAACGAGATTACATCTTTTGGTTGAGGCTAATCAAGCCAGGAAGTAATGTACACGATTTCTAGACTCATTAAGTGTCATCAGCTGCGCACAACCAACGAAAGCCAGTAGATCCTCGAACCTGAGACCGTCTGGTCGTTGGTTGGGCGTAGATTGGTGTCAGCGAGATGACAAATTTTTAGTTGAAAATTGCTAATTTCCCTTATGTCATCAACGGAGCACGAATTTCTCGGAGGAAGAACATTTTACAAAATGTATGAAGGTTTTGTCTTAGTGGTCGTCAACCGAGCATCCAGTCAATAAGTGGAAACGTGTTTTCTGTCTTTGAAGGATGATAGACGCTATATCCCATCTGAGAAATAATCACGCAAATGTTTATTGGCCTATGGACTGAAGTCAAGTTTTTTATTACTGGTCAGAAGGTAGTGGATTTGAAATCCCGTGCGGTGCACAATGCTGATGATTCCGAAGAAGAATGAAGCAGTGCTTGTCAATCCTTCAGAATAGATTGTCACTATCAACAGGATGAAACCTCAATCCCAAATGAATGTTGTAGTTACCAGAAAATTAAAGTGTCTTGACAAATATACACAACCAGGTGAAAAGAACCGCCTTTGCCTTTAAATTTTTCGATAGAATTTGCGTCATAAAGTATGTCTTCCGGCAATCGTGTTTCAAATGGTTGTGAATCAGATAATTGCAGCTCTCCGACTTACAGCAGTCTGATTTCCTATTGCATAGTTGCCTTAAGTGTACACGTTCCCCTCGGAAATGTGGAATGCTATACTGATATGTTAAAGGATATTTTACTCATTTACTGCACGATCTCCGTAGATATTTTACTCCAAGCTAAAGGTTACTTTTGCTGTAACCAGGACGTCTTTTGTTGTGTCGGATAATAATGAAATTAGCAAGTTGGAATCCAGATATTTTTCAAAAGCCGCTGGTGTTTCAAGTTTTTGAAGTATACAGAGTCGTTTGGGCCTACTGCAACATATTTGGTTCGTCAGTCAGAGAGCTCTTCTCTCAAACTTTCGAATTTTGTATACTTTTTCACACCATAATTTGATGCCTATTTTATTTCAAGGTGCCTATGTGCTGTATGTGCATCTCATGGACCGCGCTGCTGTTGAGCTTTCCATTCATCTCCGTATTCACTGGTACTGCCGCAAAAGCCACGTTCGTCCTGTGGGTTGGCTTTATGTTTCTGTGTCAATGCGGCATCTTTGTGTTCGCCCCAACAGCAGCCGCGACGATTTTTGGGGCGGTGAATTTTGCTGTCAATTATGGATTTGTTTACACAGCTTTCGTAAGTTGTGCTGATTTACGCAGTTTACATGAGAAATTGCATTAATCAAGGTTCTGATCACTTCGAAAGTTCACGTAAGACATTGCTTGATTTTATTCTTTTAGCTTGTTGGGAGTCTGATCGCATCTATGATGACAAATCTCGGTCCAGCCGGAGCATCCATTGAAGGCCATTTCTTCGTGGCTGGGGCAATGTCTTTACTCTGTGAGTGGATAGTTTAAACCGATGCTGCGAGGTAGTGTGATAAAAAATATTTTGCCTAGTAATAGTACCACGGATTCTAACTATTCATTTGAATACTGTCTGTTTATTCCTATCCAAACAAAAGTGCAGTGGTTTTCTTCAGTAACTACCTGTTTGTCCAAAAAATTGTCCATACATTTTCTGCTTTCCCTGTTTATCGCTAGGTTGGATTTCGTCGTGTAACAATTGATGTACGTATGTAGCAGCTTTGACAGCGCCGTATGGCGTAGCAACCAAAACAGGCAGGTGTGTCTGAATGCATTCTCAATCATGAAAGTACCCGCTGTCAGGAATGGAAACAACCAGCACTTATGGAAATGCGGGTCCTACTGAGACATACTGCACCAAGAGCTCAGTGGAACTCTTTCTTTTCAAGATAATGCTTTTTTGGACTTTGGTCAAAGCAGTGCGAAGATGATGGCATAAAATCATGGTCTTCTGCCCACCGTATATCATTTGGCCCAAGTGTACTGTTGTAGACCTAAAATGCCTAACAGATAGAGAATATAGCCGTCCTGCTTACACTTTAGCCGTTGCGTTTTCAAGGTACCTGAGTCATCTGAATTCAGGTTAACAGCACAATATTCATGATCTCTTCTAAATACACAAGGATGTTTCAAACAAACAAAATCTGCCTACTTCCGGCATTGTCGATCGTTTTATAAATATTATGGATGAGTGAGACGGCAACAAACCGAGCCTCTGACATCCGTTCTGAATTAAATGATCATAGATGTCCAATAGGCAAATAGATAGTGTTTGTAGATCGAGGCTTTTCATTTGTAATAACCAGACAGAGAATACGTCCATGACATCCAAGTACGATTATACACTTACCCCAGTAAATTTTAGAATGCTGCTGGTTTTCAAATAAGTTAGGTAAAATCAGTCTAAACCATGCATATGTATTATTGTCGACTGAATGCCACAGATAAGGAATGAAAAAGGCCGCTTTGCATGTCCGATTTGAAGCAGTACACGCTCGAAGTCAGAGGTAAACCCCGATAAGGAGTTTGGTCACCGGCTACATAAGCTCAATACCATATATATCGTCCAGATGTAGCATCCTTTCGGTACCTAGCTGTCATGCCACACGAAGAAGGCACGAGGGCTGGGGTACTGCCAGGTTGCCCAAGCCTCGACAGGGGAAGTCGAGTGGCAGAGGTCGGGTTCGAACCACGGACCTTCCGATCAGTAAATTCGCGCTCTAACCACTTGGTCCATCTCGATCCCCATATNAGCCGAGATTCAGAGGTCGGGTTCGAACCACGGACCTTCCGATCAGTATATTCGCGCTCTATCCACTTGGTCCATCTCGATCCCCATATATATATATATATATATATATATATATATATATATATATAAAATCAAACATACGGTAAGTCAAAATGAATAGATTTACATGATGTTTCCATGAATAGTTACGCGAGAATGACCTTACCGAGATCATGTTTGTAGGCAAAAATTTAAACTCATTCGGATCTTCAAATTATATTTTATTCTCCTTATTTTACACAAGGGTCACCATAGCTTATTTCTTGTCCTGAACCTCATAAAATGCACAGTGGTTATAAAATTCGATTTTTCAATTTATATATGTAGTCATTTTTGCTTTACCAAATTCAGTTATCATATCAGCGTTTCAATTTACCTAAATTCTTGTCCCTCTCTGTCTTTTTTTTCGCAACAGCTATTGTGTCTATTCTGTTGGTGGTCGACAGGAAGTTACCACGCTCTTTGAACTTTCTGAACGCGCCGGTCCACTTTCGCACCCGATGTTTGGCATGATGACAGTGTAATCTGCTTGAAGAAGAACTCTTGATATGTCCACGAAACAGATAAACGATGATTATTTTCAACTTAAAAGTAATAAATACTTCTTTTGATAACGTCTTTATAGAACTCTGTGCACAGTTTTATACCAGCGGTTAGGACCAATTGATCATAAATTCATTTGTTTTCGTGAAAATAATAACATATTTGAGGTCATGCAACAGTTTTATGAGCAATTCTGGAGCAGAAATAGTGTTAGGGCGGTAGGGAAAACGGATTTACTTCGGTCCAATATGTGCGTTTACGCAGATGACTTATCCACATAAGAACGTCGATTATCACAGTTCTGATGTTCATGTTGCCCCGAACTTACAAGTAGGTCTTCAACAAACAGCGAAGGCAACCAGCGCATTACGAGATATTTTCAAAGGGATTCTCATTATTCAAAACTGAGAATATTTTATTGGTCCGATAATTGATATCGTGCTAAACCTTTCCATCTCGAATTCCCTTGTCTAGACTTGAACAAACTAGAAATATCCTAGCTCCCGTGTTTCTTCTGGGTTGCATAGCCCCTAGGCATCTCGAGGGTTCCACAGCTGAACGGTTATTTTATGCGTTTTTATACAGGTGGCGAAAAAATCTAGGCGGACGATTAGGCAGGCAGGGAGAAAGTTGGTTATCATTACCCTTCCAGTTGCTGCGGCTGGCCAAAAGCAAATTTGCCCCTCTGTTCTGTTAAAAGAAGTAAAACTCTATTCGACGGAATAAGCGTCAGGTTCGAATTGTGTTTTCAAACTAAGAGAAAACCTTTTTATACAGTAAGTGCACTGCATAACAAAGAAAATCAAGCAGTCGTTTTGCGTGTATTGCTCCGTTCTGATGGGCTTTAAAAAGTTTGCATATCTCTGCGTTTGGAGATTTGTTCCACAGACACAAGTCTCTCCCCAAATAACACGATGTGCGTTATTTAACATCTTAGGCAGAGTTTCTGAGGAAAACAGTGACCAGAAAAGTTAAAATTTCAGACGACTAGATCAAAATTAACTTTAGAATCCTTGCGAGCTTCCACTTTAAGGTACTGAGGAGTCAAAACTGATGGATACCGAGATCTGTTGCATATTTTATAGTCGTACTAGCTTCCTTAGTGTTTATTGAAATCAATTCCTTGATCTGTTTCGACGTTTTGTTGACATCTTACAAAGTGATTTTGATGGACTGCTTTCTTCAATCATGCAAATATTCACACTATAATGTGTCGAATCTGTATTACTGATAGTCCTGAAAGCGTGTACCAAACGAAGGACGCCGTTTCAATTGTATATTTATTGAAATCAACTTGGCCAGAATGTGCTAATCGATCTGGAAACCTAACCACCTGCTAACTGGAAACATCTGAGTGAACGAAGGGAGATTTTAATGGCTTCGTACTCAAAAATGGATAGAACTCAACAAGTGTTAAAATAATCATGTGAGATTGTGGTAAACCTAGTTTGTTGACAAACAAAAGCCATGCGCAAAGCAAATAGCAACAGCAATGTTTTTCCAGAATACACTAGTCAAAACTAGCTTGTTATAAACCGATTTCACGGCTTTCATGGTGAATTTCGCCTTTTTATCTTGAACTCTGGCCAGACATTTCATTAGCTTCAGATACGACGTACGGTGCTCACTGCGGACAGTGATCGTGTATGATGCACAGGCATAAATTTTTAGTTTACTATCTTGAAAACTTTCAATTCACGTAGCTCATGAGCATGGATTTTAAGGTCATTTACTTGTCCAAGTTTGCAACCTGATTCCAGTGAATGAGATCAGAATGATATGTCATCACTTGCGAATCAATAGGCTTGTTTAAATACCTAATATTTGCATTCCGTTGTCGATCCCAATGTAGATATTTTGGAGAACTTCCCTCCTCAATACTGTGTTACCTACAAGACCCCTGTTTATTCCATTATTGGCTCCATTGCAAGGAACTATATTCAATAGTCCGAAATAACGAACTTTGTTCAGAACTTTGAAGATTATATCTATGGGGACTTCAAAACAGAATAATGTGCAGAATATTTCATGTGCCAATATTTCTCTTCATGTTTCTAAGCCAAAATGTGGCTGACGGTCATTGCACACCGTAGAAAACACAAAAAGATCGTGTTTTGTAGGAAATTTTCCGTGTTGGATAATTCAAATCTCTAAGTTGCGTCCCAGCAACCGCTAGACAACAACCTTTTCGACAACGCCTATTTTGTCTCTGCAGTTTGCCGGCTGAAAAAACACCATAAACATCCAATAACACAGCGGATTTTCCCCAAGGAAATACCCCTAAAATTAAGACGTCTGTTCACAGTTATGATGCTACGCATCATTGTTTTGGCCCACTATCACACTCTTAGTTGGAGTGCACGCATGTCACATTTATATATGCCACTTCAGGCTTCGACTTCCGTGCAGTAGTCCTTGACTTAACCCAAGTGAAACCATGCTAGGTAGGTACAAACGCGATATTAATTATGAATTCGTAGGCATCAAGAAGACCGGAGGGAAGAGCAATGCAAGGTCACCTGAAATACACGAATGTGTGAATCCTTCTAATTAGACTATCCTAACTGACCACTTCTTCTTTTCTTCTTTTAAATTCGCTTTGTGTCACTTGAAAAAGGAGATCTATTGCGGAATTCGTGGAGTCGCTTCGTAGCATTTGCTTGGATTTGAGCAGCAGTCAATGAATATCCAGGAAAGTTCAGGGAGACGCTTTCAAGGAGAAGGTGGACATTCAGTTTTTGTTAACAAGACGCATATGAGAGTTTTGCTTCCCTGTTCAATAGTCTGTAACTGGTCAGTTGCCATTTTCTAATGAACAACTCCGCAAGGAAGGCCGTCTTCCTTTCTAAGGTAGTGCTTACAATTCAGAAGGCCTAAAGGGGGCAAGAATGATCAGCACAAGGCTCAAAGCTAACCATAATTATGGCAAATCTATCAATTTTTTGTGCGTTTTTGGTTGTTTACATGCCATCAGCGTTCAAATAAATTCATATTAAATCTGGAGTGTATGTATACATGCCTTTAGGGAAGTCACTTGGTCGGCAGGTAAGGGGTGTCAAGTTCTAATTGTCTGTCAAATGGGACCTAAAAACTAGCCTGAGTACTTTGTACGAATAATCCACTATGCAGCATACAAACCCGGGAAACATTAATGCTT